ATATATATATTGTGTATGCATTGTATTTTGTGATCAATCAATGTATTTGTTTAACCTAATAATAACTCACATGGTTTGGTCGCTCACTTGTTGTGTCATCATCTAGTAGTCTACACATTGAACACGTATTTCATCTAACACATTCTGTGTCTCGATTCATGTATTGCGTCTTTGTCTACAGTATCTATGATCTCCAACCTATGTATATGTTGATGTTCAATAAATTTGGTCCCGTTTGGTTTATTTGTTGATCGGTGACTTGTATTCCCGAGTCGAGGATTGCCAAACAACTTCGATCCTTCAGATCGATGCAGGGCGCCGAAGCTGAGATGTTCGTCCTGAGACAGTGACTGGCGGCATCGGCGCTTATGCCGAACCGGCGGAAGCCACGGGGTAGGAGGTTGACCTTTTGAAATCGTGAAACATGGAAACCCAAAGAGGGAAACCATATGGTCAAAAGCTTTCAGGTGAGGGGACAAGGGCTTGCAAGTCCCTGCTGACTGTGCTCATGATAACTTCTAGACACTCAAGCCCGTCTCAACCAGCTTGGGCTCAGGCCCCTTTATTCTGGCGTCAATCCGCATGTAGTAGGATTGCAGGTTGTTAGCCTGGCGAATGCGAAATGGACGGCTTCGCGCGGCCGCAACCCCGAGCAACACAAAAGGGCACTCCAGTCTCGCAGCAAATGCCCCGGAACTGTCATTTTGGCACTGGGTCCTTCGTGGTCTTTCCAAGCCCCAGCAATTTGAAAAGCTGCCATCCCCATTCCTTGCGGGGAGGCAGTAGCACAGTCCAGCTACACATCTCATGAATCAGTGGACACACTATCCAAAACTCATCATGCCACCATCCCTTGCATTAGTGGCCACACGGGCCAAAAATGGAGCAGGGTGGAGGTTCAACTTGGTTGCCGATTGTCCAAACCTGTCTGATGGAGCTTTAGCGGCTGGTGATTGGACAGCTCCAGTTCGCTCGTCTCGTTGGTACGTTACGCGGGCAAATGGTCTGCTCATTTGCTTGTCAAAACCAGTCAGTTGCTACGGTCTGTTTTAAAGCTGGTAGCAGAACCACCAATGGGCGCACAGCTACTCGGCCTCTTGGAGCTCAGACTATTCGATTTGCTCCGGCTGAGGTGCCATGCAGCTGAAGGGCATGGATGGATACTGTCTCTGCCTGGATGTTCGCAACTTAAACATCTTGAGCTCTGGCATCTTGAAAGGACGTCTGCTTCTTGTAATGAGCTCACAAGAACCTGTCTGCAGCACGCGCGCTTTTGAAAAAACCAAAGCTTTGCTTACTTCTAGCGAGCGCCGCCTTACTCGCCGTCGACACCTGGAACTTAACTGCGCCGCCCAGTTGCAGCTGTCCTGTCACTCAAGCGCAAACAGTCTCCGTAGAAAAGGGCGCATAGAGGTTCACTCGACTTCCTAGAGCTGTTGCGTGTGTCTTTCATCGACGCTAGGCCACATGTGAAATGTTCAGCGCTGACAGTGCAGTATGCTGTGTACACCCGGTCAGGTCAAACGAGTGAAAACTGATTGAACAACCATTGAACGTGGTGTTTTGCAAAATGAATTGTCAACAACACTTATTTCTGCGAGGAAGCACTTATTTCCAGTTGGGACGGCACCCAGCCACAAAAGCTTGGAACGCGGTTTTGCTGGTTCCGCGTATTTCCGACTGATGTCCTAGCAGTATTCAAAACTTGTCCAGCAGGGCTGACTCTTCTGCACGTATTCCAGAATTTTCGCTCAAACGCAGAACAACTGGAAGCAATAATTTGTTCCTATTTGCGGGCTAGAACCCTTTTGTTGGAAGCCGTTTAGGGCCCCCTGATAGTACACAGCCTCGCCGCTGTCAAATGCACAAACCATATGAGTATGTCAGTAGCTCGGTTGGGCTGGTTGCCATTGCAATCCCCTCACTTTGTGTGAGATGCAAGAACCACGTCCAACTGTTGCGTCCAACTGTCAGACGACGGTTGACTCGAGGGGAACAAAGCACAGGAGTCCAGGACGCTGGCTCTCCTAACTGCCGCACGGAAAACGGCTCCGCAAAAAGGCAAAGGGCCCCGGGCATGTACACTAGAAGTGAAACTAGAGCATGCGCGAAGTGGCTCGGAGCACCGCAGTCTGCCTGTCACGCGAGGCCTTCCTGTCACGTGAAAGCGAAACGGCCTCAAAACCATCACCCAACGCGCTGCAGCAGTTTAGACACTGCTCGCGATTCGGCTACCTTTACAGCCGTGGCATTGCGAAAGCCCTGAAAGGCAATTGATATTGGTGTGCCCCTGCCCCTGTCAGTGAGGTGTGGGCGGGCATTGAGGAGTCGAGGGGCTAGTACGTTGGAAGGTCCAGATTGCGCATAGTCCTTTGTGTTGGGGTTGGGGGTTTTGTCAGTTGCTTGCAGGATCCGCGCGCATGGAAGCTCGCAGAAGTTGGCTGCGCAGAAAATGTCGGCCTCGGGAAATCATTGGCCTCGCGCGTTCCATGCCGAGCTTCCGGAGGGGCCCTCTTTCGCGGCAGTCCTTCCCAGTGGCGTTTAGTTGCTGGACAAAAGCTGCAACTTGAAACGGTCGCAGGTTTTTCGCACAAAACATGCAACTTTCCGGAAATGGCAACTTTTCTTTAACTGCTCACGGAAGACAAATTGGACTTAGAATGTGTCCCGCCGCACACTTTACTCGTTAGATGCATCAAACATGCCACACGGCCTTGCAACAACTCAATTACGGCTGTAGGCTAGTTAAGCATCAATAGCTCTGGTCCTGACAGCCTGAGCAGCGAAACCCATCAAATTTCCGCGTACAGCAATTTGGCCAGACACTTTACTCGTTGGACGCATCAAATATATTCCACACGACCTTGCGACAACTCTATTTGAATGCCTACAGGCTAGTGAAGCATCAGTAGCTCTGGCGGGGCCCACTGTTTTGGAAAGTCGTGAAAGCCTGAACACCGAAGCCTATCAAATTTTATGCTGCTTACGTGGCAGGATCTTGCAAAAGCGGCTCAAAAACAACGCTGAGACGCTGTTTCATAAATGGGTGGTGGCAACTCAGTACTCAGTATGCACTTTTGGTGTTGCATGTCGCGTTCAAGTCTGCTATGACAGAACCTCTTTCAGCGATGTGCTGGCCCCTGTCAGTGCGTCCAGCTCATGGGTCCACTGCCATTAGAACAATGATTTACGTAATAGCGTACACATGAGCCTGAACATGCCTTGAACAATTGTCGACGTTTGGGCACAAGCTGCCTTAAGAGTGCCAGTACAAAACCTGCGGTGTTTTGCGCCACTTTACGCCCAGCATATGCAACTTTGCAGGTTTTCAGGAAATGGCGCAGTGCAGGCTGCGCGCGCATTCTGAGTCAAATGGTGTGCTTAGCCTGGCCACTCACGTAGCTGATCGTGTCAAGCAGAGCCTGGACTGAATTCACACGTCCAAGGCATCAAACTCCCAAGCTCACCAATGTCTGGAGGCAAACGTTTCAATTTTATATTTTTTTGCTGTAGACCAAGGCGGCAACACCAAACCAAGGCAAGCACACCACCACGGTGGCATAGTGTCAAGCACATCCCACTGTCGAGGCAGTGGCAGCGTCCCTGCAGCGCAAAAGGCAGTTGAGAACAAGCACGCAGCTTGGGGCCAAACAAACGTCTTCACGATGCAATTTGATTTTGCACAAACGCACGTCTTGTGGCATTTTCTGCAAGCCGGTTTGAAGAGCAGGGCCCCAGGCCATCTCAAAACCTAAGAAAAGCGCCGGGTGCGTGCGAGGCATTACGTCGTCTCAAATCTCCACAGCGCTGCAGCTATTGTGATACTTCACATGGAATGTCTTCAGCTTCGCAGGGTGACGTGCACATCCGCAAGCCGATTGCAGCTTTTGGCCAAGGCAGGGTTTTGCTGTAACTTGCGCTTAAAAGGGCACTTGCCCCAGTTGCCCTTTCTTTTAGGCCTCATTTTCCCGGCGAGGCTACTTGCACGCCGGCGCTGGGGCTAAGTTGGTGGCCAATGAGCGCAACACAGGTGAGTCTAATGTGCCGTCGATGTGGCCACTTGACAGCAAGCCCAGCCGATGCTCACATTTAAGTGCGCACACACTCAGGCAGCTTGTGAGCGACGCACGCAACCCCGTCACGGCTTGGGGCGCTTGGGATCCAAAACCTCGCGCGCTGGGAGCAAAAGATCAGAGCGAGTCACATTGGACAGCTCACAAAGGACTGGACTGCCAAGGAAGCACTGCCCCAGGCTTCGTGCGGCTGGTCTGCAAGGCAATCTTAATCAAGTTCATTTTCAGCTTTGGGCAGGGCCCAAAGTGCAGCAACCGTTGGGTAAGCGGCCTGCGTAAACGGGCCCTGCGTGCAAGCAAGCACTTTGCATGAATCAACAAGCAAGAGGAGACGCGTTGCGCAAGACTAGGAACACTTAATGAGCACTCAGCACCGAAGCCAATCAACCAGAAGGCTGGCCTGAGCAAGTGCTAAGAAATCCATAGGTTGAGCGCGGCATCTCAGCCACGGCCTCTCAGCTACTCCTAGCGCACGGCCTCTCAGCCACTCCACAGGTTGAGCACGTCGTAGCGCGCGATGTGCTTAGATGGTCAAGCTCGTCTGACAGGCCCCGCTTTTTTTAGCAATTCAGAAAGCTTCTGCGAAGGCAAACTGGCTCCTACGAACTTTGCACAACTGTCTGTGCTCCCCATCCTTTGCGTGGTCCACCAGTGTTCTACCCAGACATCGCTGGCATCTGTGGAAGGTTCACAAACTCAGCACGCTCAAACAATTTGTGGAAGGAAAAAGCAAGATGAGATGTGATGTGCGAAACTGAACACACTCAGCACCGAAGCAAATGTGTACAAGGCTGGTGTGATGAGCAAGTGCTGCTCTGGCGAACTGCAAAGGCTAAACAATGGAGGGATACCGAACGAGGTGCTACACAGGCAGTCACAAACAAAGCTCTGCGATGTACGAAGGCAGTATCAAGGCAGTCACAAACATCATGGCTTCTTATGAAAGCCGAAATGGATCACACCTCGTTATCGCATCTCCGGGGAATACGACTGGCACTCGGCAGGATGGGGAAAAGCGCCTACGACTTACGTAACTTTTGCAAACTTCCGTGCGGCTTCGGATTCTGCGCTGAACTTTATGGCTTGAAGCTGAACGCCGCTTACACCTACTTCTTTCATTCAAGTTGGGGTTCCCGCCTTCAGTGACGCCCGTAGACAAACCCACAGTCACAGGCCTCTGCTTGCTCGCTAATAGCTTGCCAGTGAATGAGAGCTTTGCTGCTGATAACCTTCTAATAGCAAGCTATTTTCAAATCGGTATGTTTTTACCGACATGTGGGTCCAAACAGCATTTTGGACCACAGACCTGGCAATAGCAATGGCCTGTAGCAGTGATGAGGAGAATGATGATGATGATGACGATGATGGCATGCAAGTGTCTGTCCAACAACTTGTTCGGAAAATACGTCGCTCCTCTGCGCCCAAACGACTGTTTCTGGCCCGTGGTTCTCCATTCCGGAAAGTGAATGAGCAATGTTTGCTGGCGACACATGTCTGTTTTGCAATGTCGAAATTTGTTTGAGGTAGGGAGTGCGCGAAGTCACCTTTGACAGGGGCCGCAGTTGGCAAGCTCTGGGCAGCTATTCGCTTGCTGTAGAGGGGGCGCACCCCCCCCCGTACAGCAGGGACGGGCATGTTTTCCTCAAAAACGGAGCCCGGGAGCGAGCGCGGGGGAAACACGAGCAAAAGGGCCCTTGCCTGGGGAACGATGTAGGATGAACATGGTGCCGTCTGGCGGGCACTAAGTTTTCAATTTGTGCGCACATGTGCGGAGAATCTGCTGATATTTAGCTTCCCCGCAGTCCTCAGCTCTTGGAGGTGGGGGGGGGAACGACTCGGCTCATTCTCCTTCGAATGAAGACAGTTATCTGTCCGTGAAAGGTTCATGTAGGAGCCCTAGACCGGGCTGGGGCACTGGTGTGTTTGCAGTAGGCCAGCAACCCCAGGCCTTTCTGTGAGGTCCCGCTGGTGTTGCCAGACCTCAAAGGAATCGATGGGGTGCCACTCAGGCAAGGTGGGCCCCCAGAACTCTCCAACACAAATTCTTCGTGGCTTTTGGCCCGAGCCCTTGCCTTCAATGGTTCGCAACATTTCCGGCCACACGCCGCAATAGAACTGCATGTTCCTGATGCCCGGGAATACGTTCACCACGCTACATGGGTGAATTCTTATATTTCCTAGGTCGTTAGGTCGAATTCGCTATTTCAAAGGTCGATCTAAAATAACTTAGGTCGTGGCACTGCTGTGCCTCAACACGGCAACTTCTGAAACCGGCTCCAGGCGGCAACTCCTTAAATACCCCGGTTTTAAGAGGTTGGATCCCCCCAAAGTAGAATTCTGGGTGACGCAACGGACAACAGCTCAGGGGTGTTGATCATGTGTTTGCATTTACCATAACTTGCGCGCGTGTTTGCTACAAAGAGCTCGAGCAAACATTTGTGTATCAATGGGTCTGCAGGTAGAGGTTGGGACTACAAAGAATGAAGATCAAATCGCAGAGTTGGAGTTTTTGATGAGGCGACTTGAGGCTGGCTCATGAGGGTCGCGTTTGCAGGCTTCCTTCTGTACACTACCTTGCAGCTCCATGGATGTTGTCCTTTTGCAATGCACTCTTCTGGTCTCGTCCGAGAAAGGCAAACGTCTGCGAGCACGTCCCAGGAATGTTCAAAGCCCCTGCACATCACAAGCGGGTAACTGTCTCCGGAAGTCAAACAATGTCAAAGCCCTCGCGCTTGGCGCCTGTAGGCCAACGCGAGGCGGCGATTGGGGCACTGTCCGTCACATGCGTGGCGAACATCAAAATATGAAGATCTAGCGATTCAGCAGGATTTGGGCCACCAGAATCAGTCCTGAGAGGATGTCCCCCAACAAAAACAATCGTTCCAATCACACACAGGCATTGGCGCAACCATCTCAGCGCACATGTGCCTGGCACACCGTTCGGATTCTAACTGAGCCGACCAAGGGCAGCGGACATGAGCACTCAAGCACCCAGTCAAACAGGAAAGAACAAAATACATTTGTGTCCAGAAAATGGTCTTGACCTTGTTGCTTGCAGGACCCCGATTCCTCTCTAACATGCTGTATTGGTCATGTCGACGTGTAGCAACTGCAAAAACCAAAGTGTAGGCGCGGCATGGCCTCCATCTTCGAAGTACCTTCCACGTGCTGCCCGGCGTTCACCGCCAAAGGAACCTCCAGAAGGAACCGGATCTGGTACCTGCTTGCAGAGCAAACAAAATGCGGGGGGAAGAGAAAAAAAGAAGCTCCACTCCACTTCTAGATGGGCAGGAAGCCCCTTCCCCTCCTAAATTTCGGGACCTCCTTGTGGATGCTTAAAGCAAAAAGGAAGAGAACATGAAATCACGCGCACGCAAGTTTGGCGCCCGGAAGGCCGCCCTGACTCCAGGCCAAAAGCGAGCCCATCCCCGGGCAAGAAGAAACACTTGGAAGGGGTTATTGACTTCTAGCAAGGTCCCGTTTTTGCTGGGAGTGTATATCTTGCACTCTACTCTTTTTCCAAAACAGGGATCCCTATATTCCGCTGTTGGTTTGAAACATCACCTTTTGTGCCAATCGAAAATCCGAGCTGAGTGGGTAGGCTGCTTCAAGATTGAACATTTGTTGTAGGGGCCCCCATTCCCAAACACCCAACCCCCCACTCCCCACCCCTCCCCAACAAAAAACCGGTGCCTTTTCAAGGCGACCTGCAACTTCCGCAGGCAACCAACTTCTCCGCCAAATCGGCCTGTGTCAAACTAGGGGGAACCCCAAAAAAGCGGTTTTGCTTTCAAGACAACCCCAAAAAAGGGAAACGAAATGAGCCATTGTGGGGGTTCCATAGCCTGTTTTGAGACAAGAGCCACGTTCGGGCTTCTCCACATCAGCTGACGACAGCCGTACGGGCTTTCGGGAAATGTTGAAAGGAAAACGAAACAAACCTCCCAAGTGACTCCTTTTCCTGAGACCTCCCAAAAAGTGACCCTCGAAAACACATGTGGCCGTGGGGGTCACTCTGAGTCACATCCCGGCGCACCAATGAGTCCCTGGACACCGCGGCGTGGAGAGCACCGCCGTCTGATTCGAACGCGACATCGAGAAAAGATAGCCGGATCCAAACCTTGGGCCGCCGTACCAGTCACGATTTTGTAGCCAAACCCCTCGTTTGTCTCGCCAAACCCCTGTTTTTTCTGGTACCAATTGAGTGTCGGTCCAAAACAGCGATGTTGTCCGCATCCCAACGCCCCCCCTAAAAACCTAGCCTCAGAACCCATGACAGCTTGGCTCGAGACATGAAAGTTGAAGCTCGTTGGGCCCTAGTTGGCCATGGAACCTTCCATCGAGTGACGCCAACCTGTGCTCTTCCCCAGCTCAGCGCTATGTGCACTAAATGTGCTATATGGTATCAAGGCATGTACGCCAGGCTGTAGAGCCTCCACTCTCCCCCAGGTCCGTGCTATATGTACTGTATGTACTATATGTACTATACGGTATCGAGGCGCGCTAGATGTACTATATGTGCTATCTACGCTAAATAGCACATACAGTACATATGGCAGTGACCTGGGGGAGAGTGGGGGGCCTCGATGCCATACAGCACATATAGAACATATAGCACTGACCTGGGGGAGAGTGGAGGCTCTGCGGGTTGACTGTGGAGAAGCAGCCGCCGCGTAACCGACCTCGCTCTCCCACCCAAGGTTGGAATTCTGATTTTGCTCTCCCACCCGACATCGGAATTCGACTTCGCTCTCCCACCCGAAGTCGGAATTCGACTTCGCTCTCCCACCCGAGGTCGGAATTCCGACTTCGCTCTCCCACCCGAGGTCGGAATTCCGACTTCGCTTCGGTGTGTTCAACGTGAATGGCATTCACGTTGAGCATCGCTCCCCGGGGCAGCGAGGACGGCCGCGGCTCCCAACGCCGACGACCGACGGCCTATTTCAACATAAGGCGCACTTATGTTGAAATAGGCCGCCGCTCCCAACGCCGACGACCGGCGGCCTATTTCAACATAAGTGCGCCTTGTGTTGAACACCACTGTTTTCCGCAGTCGCCTCTTCCAGGGGCCACTGCGGAAAACCGCAACTATGTTGCCAAACTGGCCGGAATGTGAGTTTTCCGAAGTCGGGGCTGCCACCCCCCACTTTGGAAAACTCCCAACGCCGACGAAGTACGGCCAGAATGTGAGTTTTCCGAAGTGTCGGTTCTCATCCGACACTGTGGAAAACCGCAATTATGTTGCCAAACTGGCCGGAATGCTATTTGTCCGCAGTCGGGGCTGCTACCCCCCACTGCCGGAAAACTCCCAAACAACGACGACCGCAGTCGGGCGCGCCGGCCTCTCGTGGCATAGCAGGAGGCAAGCCTGAGGCCGAAAACCAACGGACCCCGGCAAATCCAAGGCGCAGCAGGCCTCAAGATGACATGTTGTATCACCAGATGACATGTTGTATCACTAGATGACATGTTGTATCCCTAGAGTTGACGTTTAGCCAGCTTCAGTTGTGTTCTGAGTTCTGCAAAGGGTTCCCCTGCCCGGAAAGGATTGTTACTCCTCAATAGATCTTCTGCCTCGCCAGTGTCTGGTTCCCCGGATCCGTGCTGTGTGCTTTTCGGGATCCAAATGCTTCAAGCCATCCGACGAGACATTCAAAACGCAATCAGGGCTGCCGGTGTCGACAATCACAAACTCGCAAACGCCTGGCAATTGTGAAGCGGAAACTCGGCCTTTTCGGTTTTCGGCAACAGCACATCTGACATATTAAAACAAGAGGAGCCCGGGAACCCAAAAGCAATGTGGATCCCGTTGTTTTCCGGGTCAAGGGTCCGAAGGCAAACCAAGATTTAAGTTGTTCACAGTTGGGAAATCAACCCCAAAACAGATGAAGAAGGGGAGCAATCGCGACTCAAGCCGGATTGGCAGCCAGCAGCCTGTGCTCTGACCAAGCACAGAGAAAAAGGCAAAGGCACGGGTGAAACATGACAGGCCCCGCACTACATGGAAGGCACGAAGTCATCCGATCCAGTCGCAGAAATCCGAAAATGGATCCGCACAAACTACCACTCCCAAATTGGAAGCAAGGCATAAGCTCGCTCTACGTCCATCTGAAACAAGTCTGAGACACAGATCTGAGTAGACCGGGGTCAGCTGTTCGGATGTTCATGCGCCCTTTTGTTTGGGCCGAGTGTGCTCAGCATATTCATGTCAACGTGCTTCCAGGCTGCTTCCACATAAGTAGGGCGAACCCCAAGAGGCTACAGCTTCTGAAGAGAGGGTTCGTCCTAGAAACACATTGGCACCATTTGTTCGGGTCAGGCAAAAATGACAATTTTGGCGCACCTGGAACGCCGGGCTGTTCACATGGAGCCGTGCACGTGGCCTTCACAAACTTGCTTCGTAAGCTTGCTTGGATTCGTTAGTTTCTCCACCTATTTTCCCATTCGCAACCAATTGCAACTGGTGACTTTGTGGAAAGGGCCGCGCACGTTGTCAATTGGATGCGTGTGGATGGCAAGTTGGGTGGATTCGCCGCAGGTGTGTGGAGACGGGGCCGGCGCTGCGCTTTTGCGGGGGGCTCGGTGTGGACAAGCCTCGGTCACTTGGTGGGTCTGACGCCTGTCCGAAACAAGTCTGAGACACAGTGTTACCACGATCTGCGTAGACCGGGGTCAGCTGTTCGGATGTTCATGCGCCCTTTTGTTTGGACCGAGTGTGCTCAGCATATTCATGTCAACGTGCTTCCAGGCTGCTTCCAAATAAGTAGGGCGAACCCCAAGAGGCTACAGCTTCTGAAGAGATTCTTCGTCCTAGAAACACATTGGCACCGTTTGTTCCGGTCAGGTGTGAGGCAAAAAGGACAATTATGGCGTACCTGGAGCGCCGGGCTGTTCACATGGAGCCGCGCACGTGGCGATTGCCGCATGTCATGAGCGTCCACCGCGCCAGTCTCGCTCGCCGGCATGTCACGAGCGTCCACCGCGCCAGTCTCGCTCGCCGGCATGTCACGAGCGTCCACCGCGCCAGTCTCGCTCGCGGGCGGTTTCCGCATGTCACGAGCGTCCACCGCGCAAGTCTCGCTCGCGAGCGGTTTCCGCATGTCACGAGCGTCCACCGCGCCAGTCTCGCTCGCAGGCGGTTTCCGCATGTCACGACGCCCGCCAGTCTCGCTCGCGGGCGGTTTCCGCATGTCACGAGCGTCCACCGCGCCAGTCTGGCTCGCGGGCGGTTTCCGCCTGTCACAAGCGCCACCACCCCAGTCTCGCTCGTGGGCGGTTTCCGCATGTCACGAGCATCCACCGCGCCAGTCTCGCTCGCGGGCGGTTTCCGCATGTCACGAGCGTCTGCCGCACCAGTCTCGCTCGCGGGCGGTTTCGGCGGCTTCCGCATGTCACGAGCCTCCGCCGTGCAGTCTCGCTCGCGGGCGGCTTCCACATGTCACGAGCGTCCACCGCGCCAGTCTCGCTCGCGAGCGGTTTCCACATGTCACGCGCAGGCAGTTTCAGCATGTCACGAGCGTCCACTGCGCCAGTCTCGCTCGCGAGCGGTTTCCGCATGTCACGAGCGTCCACCGCGCCAGTCTCGCTCGCGGGCGGTTTCCGCATGTCACGAGCGTCCACCGCGCCAGTCTCGCTCGCGGGCGGTTTCCGCATGTCACGAGCGTCCACCGCGCCAGTCTCGCTCGCGGGCGGTTTCCGCATGTCACGAGCGTCCACCGCGCCAGTCTCGCTCGCGGGCGGTTTCCGCATGTCACGAGCGTCCACCGCGCCAGTCTCGCTCGCGGGCGGTTTCCGCATGTCACGAGCCTCCACCGCGCCAGTCTCGCTCGTCCATCGCGCCAGTTTCGCTTGCAAACGGTTTCCGCATGTCACGAGCGTCCGCTGCGCCAGTCTCGCTCGCAGGCAGTTTCCGCATGTCACGAGCGTCCACCGCGCCAGTCGGTTTCCGCTCGCCGGGCGGTTTCCGCATGTCACGAGCGTCCACCGCACCAGTCTCGCTCGCGGGCGGTTTCCGCATGTCACAAGCGTCGCCCGCGCCAGTCTCGCTCGCGGGCGGTTTCCGCATGTCACGAGCGTCCACCGCGCCAGTCTCGCTCGCGGGCGGTTTCCGCATGTCACGAGCGTCCACCGCGCCAGTCGCGCTCGCGTGCGGTTTCCGCATGTCACGAGCGTAGTCTCGCTCACGGGCGGTTTCCGCATGTTACAAGCGTCCACCGCGCCAGTCTCGCTCGCGGGCGGTTCCGCATGTGCCTCGCTCGCGGGCGGTTTCCGCATGTCACGAGCGTCCACCGCGCCAGTCTCGCTCACGGGCGGTTTCCGCACGTCACGAGCGTCCACCGCGCCAGTCTCGCTCGCGGGCGGTTTCCGCATGTCACGAGCGTCCACCGCGCCAGTCTCCGCGCCAGTCTCGCTCGCGGGCGGTTTCCGCATGTCACGAGTCCACCGCGCCAGTCTCGCTCGCGGGCGGTTTGCGCATGTCACGAGCGTCCACCGCGCCAGTCTCGCTTGCGGGCGGTTTCCGCATGTCACCAGCGTCCACCGCGCCAGTGTCGCTCGCGGGCGGTTTCCGCATGTCACGAGCGTCCACCGCGCCAGTCTCGCTCGCGGGAGTTTTCCATGTCAGGGCGGGCGGTTTCCGCACGTCACGAGCGTCCGCCGCGCCAGTCTCGCTCGCGGGCGGCTTCCCCATGTCACGAGCGTCCACCGCGCCAGTCTCGCTCGCGGGCGGTTTCCGCCTGTCCCGAGCGTCCACCGCGCCAGTCTTGCTGTTTCCGCCTGTCACGAGCGTCCACCGCGCCAGTCTCGAGCGAGACTGGTGCGGTGGACGCTCGTGACATGCGGACACCGCCCGCGAGCGAGACTGGCACGGTGGACGCTCGTGGCGGTGGACGCTCGTGACATTCGGAAACCGCCCGCGAGCGAGACTGGCGCGGTGGACGCTCGTGACATTCGGAAACCGTTCGCGAGCGAGACTGGCGCGGTGGAGCGCTCGTGACATGCGGAAACCGCCCGCGAGCGAGACTGGCGCGTGACATGCGGAAACCGCCCGCGAGCGAGAGACTGGCGCGGTGGACGCTCGTGACAGGCGTGGAAACCGCCCGCGAGCGCGGGCGGTTTCCCCATGTCACGCGCGTGCACCACGCCAGTCTCGCTCGTGCGGTTTCCGCCTGTCACGAGCGTCCACCGCGCCAGTCTCGCTCGCGAACGGTTTCCGCATGTCACGAGCGTCCACCGCGCCAGTCTCGCTCGCGGGCGGTTTCCGCATGTCACGAGCGTCCACCGCGCCAGTCTCGCTCGCGGACGGTTTCCGCATGTCACGAGCGTCCACCGCGCCAGTCTCGCTCGCGGGCGGTTTCCGCATGTAACGAGCGTCCACCGCGCCAGTCTCGCTCGCGGGCGGTTTCCGCATGTCACGAGCGTCCACCGCGCCAGTCTTGCTCGCGGGCGGTTTCCGCATGTCACGAGCGTCCACCGCGCCAGTCTGGCTCGCGGGCGGTTTCCGCATGTCAGGAGCGTCCATTTCGCTCGCGGGCGGTTTCCGAATGTCACGAGCGTCCACCGCGCCAGTCTCGCTTGCGGGCGGTTTCCAGCCAGCCTCGCGCGCCCAGTCTGCACCACACCGCCGTCCCCCCAACCAGCCAGTCTTGCTCGCGGGCGGTTTCCAGCCTGCACCACACCCCCTCCCCCCAGCCAGCCCCACACCGCCGTCCCCCCAGCCAGCCTCGTACGCCCGGTCTGCACCCCCAGCCGGCGTCGCACGCCCGGTCTGCAACGAAATGGAAATCCCTTCTTATCTCCGTCGTCACAGCTTGTATCGCTCCCAGGCACCTTAAGAGAAAACCTAAAGCAGAACCCAAGCATCAGAGATGCTTTTGGGAAAAAGGAAAACCATGCCGGCAAAGAACTGGGCAAACTGCGGAGGATATCACACGGGCAGCCTGACTGTATGCCAGCATGCAATGTATTAAATCAAAGGGTTCCTTCTCTCGTGAGCCCTAACCTTTTTCGGAGCCGTGATATAAAATGCATGTGAAACGCGGGGAATGCCAATGAGGAAAGGGGCAGGGGGCATCGTGGATTCGACGTCATGAACAGGGTGCCCTCTGTTGGGCCTTTCTGTGAAAACAAACACGGCAATCTTGTGAATGCTTCCTGAATGTATGTTCAATCCACTGAAGGTCCTGCGCGCAACTGTGTTGCTTCATGTCCGGGCCCAGATCAGACGGCTTTCTTGGGCTTCCCTTCAAAACAACAAACCCTCTGGCGGCAAACCCACGACTCATTTCGGAAGGCCGGATTTCACGAGGGACCTGTAGGCCACGGAACCAGGCCAAACGGTCAGCCGGGAGCCTCCGTTTGGGAACCCAAGTCGATGGGTAAAACAGGCAGACAACTGGCCCAACCTCGTATAAGGGCCTTAAGGGAAGAAGAAAAAGAAAGAAAAAGAAAACTCGGCGTTGCTCCGTCCCCCTCTCCCCACCGTCGATTTGACCCGAAGGCGCCATTCCAGCGCGGAGGGATCTCCGGCCTCGCAGGCCTCGGGGGAATACGCCCCGGAGCACGCATCCGGGGGTTCAGGGGTTGTTCGTCGGGAGGCCGATGGCAAACCCATGGATGGAAAAACGCATTGACAAGGCCGGGAGATGCAAAACAGACCGGTGAATTGGACACTGCACTGGAGTCAAAGATTTGTCGTGAGATGGATGCCGTCGTGAGATGGACTGAGCGAGAAATGGCCTCGGTTTATCTTTTCGCCTCTCATAGATTCCAGCTAAACAAAGAAGTGCTATCTGCACATTGGAAAAGCTCGCATCTTACTGCCACTAAGTATAAGCTGGGGCCGCTTCCTGCCCTTTCCATCATATCCGTTTGTGCAACAAGGGGCCTGAACTCAAGCGAAGCCGCCTTATTTTGGCGCTCATGTTTACAGCTTACCACCAACTATCATTGACATGGATGTCGTCCCATTGGTTTCAGGAGGAATTTGGGTCCAACTCCAAATCCAAACCGCAGACTAAGGCTAATCTGGTGGTTAGCTTCATCCGTCACTTACACATCACTCACCCAGATCTCTTTGTGCCTCCCTCTAGCTGCACCCCACCTGATTTCGCAAAGAAACTCCATCAAAGACCTACTGCAAACCATGGAACCCGATTCGATGTGATGCTTGCCCAAAAGGAGCGTCTAAACACGGATCGGTGCTTTGACCCAGCTACAACGAGATCCTTCACCTTCCGAACGCTCAATCAATATGAAGAAGCAGGCTTAGTTGAACCTCGAAAGCAGAACGGCTCATTTCCGACGCCCAAAAGACCAGGTGTTCTCTTCGAGTCCAAAGGTCAGATGTAAGTTTCTTCTGGATCAGGGGCCCATGGCTCGCTCGAGTCGACGCCTCGCGACCAAACTTATTCGTTAACGAAATGAAGCCCCGCCACGTCCAGACCGCAGCGGCTGGCGCGCATCTCACCCAGCAGCGCCAGCACCGCCGGCGCGCGGCCGCAGGCCTCCCGAAGTGCCACAACGGCTGCAGGCAATGGGGGGGGGGGGGGTGGCAAGGGAAACCAAGGGAAACCCGGCAGAAATTCGGGGCTCAAAACCAGGGGTTGTCAAGGCTGCGCTATGATGGGTGTGCACTTGGATTGGAATGAATATCCTTTCTTGGCTTCCACGGACAGAGGATCTTCTCAAAACGATCCTGTTCAAGCAGTTAGGCTTTTACCTGCGGGAGGTGGGAGGTATTGGCAACATACTCGTGGTTCTGTGTGTGTGTGTGTACCTGTTGAACTGTTGCGTTGCTTTCCTTTGGATGTTGTCCATGGCCTTGGTGTGGCTCCCTTGCAAATACAAACATTGCTGCAAGGCGGTTGATTGCACCTTGACCATTCAGCGAAAGCCCGAAGCCGAGCACTGCTCCAGTGCGGCTTCAGCCCCAAACCCTGGCATCTCACGCAACTTCCGTTCAAGTACACAACGCTCCAGCCGTCGCGGACAAGCTGTCGCCAACAACACCCGCCTCTTTTACACAAGACCCTTCAAAGGACCCTTCAAAGGGGCACTGCAATGTCCTTCATATAAAACTGTCAGAGAGTGCCTTGACAAAATGTTTTCAATTGTCTGAATCAGCCGTATGCCTGAGAACTGAGTCTCAGGCCGGGCGGGCTCAGACTATCAAGAAGCTATACAAACTGCAAGAGCAAGGCCCGCTCAGCGCTGAGAAGCCTTCACCACGTCCTTGAACTCCAGGAATGCCTTATAGGCCGCCTTGGCGTCCTCAGCGTTCACCTTGGACATCATGTAAGGGCCCACATCCTTGCCCAAGCTGAACTTGTTGAAGGCGTTGTACACGTCCATGGTCTTGGAGGCCGGCACGGACGCAATCATGTGGCCAATGGCGGCGTTGGTGGCCGTGTAGTCCTCAAGGGTGGTCACCCCCTTGCTGTCAACGCGCCCGATGGCCTCGCTGTGGGCCAACACGCCAGCCTTCAGAGCCGCGGGGTCCATCGCGGCGCCCATAACCAACATCTTGTCGATCGCCTTCAGCACATCCAAGGGCTTGGCAGTGGGCAGAACGCCATAGACGCCATCAGTCCAGTCGATCTCCTGAATGGAACATGTAATGATGTTTCTGACGGACAGCCATTCACATGCGAACACGTTTGCCGCCAAAAGAATCAGTCCTAAGTCCCTCAACAATAAAACAAGAGCTGGAAGAACAAACAAATGAAGATCGACCGCCAGGCATTGTGAAGCGGCAACTGTTGGACGGTATCTGGCAGCCTTCACAAAACAGCGAGCATCAAACAGACTCCTAAAAGGTTCACCCAGAAGTCCAAAGTTGGGCTGGAGGAAGCTTCTTTCAAGCCATGATGGGGTGATCATGCTCTGCAATCCTTCAAGAATGGGTAAGACTTCTCTGATAGAACCTTGGCCGCATCATCGATCTTGTCCGCGTAAGCCGGCGCTGTGCCCAGCATGGCCGCGGCGCCGGCCGCCGTGGCAATCGGCACGTGTCGGCCAGCAGGGGGCACGAATGCACCCTGCCAGCCGCAGTAGGCCGCCACACCCGCCACGACTGCGAGCATCTTGCTTGCCTTTGCCATGGCAAAGATGATGAGAAGGCTCTTGGCTATTGCTCTTGCGGCTTTCGTACTCAAAAGCTGACATGCAGACACTTATCAACGGAGCAAGCCAAGGCACGCTTCTTGCCAAGCGATTGCTCTCTCTCTCTCTCTCCCCTCTCCCTGGCATAACATCTCCAGCGCGGCTGGCATCTCACGGCTTCCGTTCAAGTACACAACGCTCCAGCCGTCGCGAACAAGCTGTCGCCAACAAGACCCGCCTCTTTTACACAAGACCCTTCAAAGGACCCTTCAAAGGGGCACTGCAATGTCCTTCATATAAAACTGTCAGAGAGTGCCTTGACAAAATGTTTTCAATTGTCTGAATCAGCCGTATGCCTGAGAACTGAGTCTCAGGCCGGGCGGGCTCAGACTATCAAGAAGCTATACAAACTGCAAGAGCAAGGCCCCGCTCAGCGCTGAGAAGCCTTCACCACGTCCTTGAACTCCAGGAATGCCTTATAGGCCGCCTTGGCGTCCTCAGCGTTCACCTTGGACATCATGTAAGGGCCCACATCCTTGCCCAAGCTGAACTTGTTGAAGGCGTTGTACACGTCCATGGTCTTGGAGGCCGGCACGGACGCAATCATGTGGCCAATGGCGGCGTTGGTGGCCGTGTAGTCCTCAAGGGTGGTCACCCCCTTGCTGTCAACGCGCCCGATGGCCTCGCTGTGGGCCAACACGCCAGCCTTCAGAGCTGCCGGGTCCATCGCGGCGCCCATAACCAACATCTTGTCGATCGCCTTCAGCACATCCAAGGGCTTGGCAGTGGGCAGAACGCCATAGACGCCATCAGTCCAGTCGATCTCCTGAATGGAACATGTGATGATGTTTCTGACAGACAGCCATTCACATGCGAACTCGTTTGCCGCCAAAAGAATCAGTCCTAAGTCCCTCAACAATAAAACAAGAGCTGAAAGAACAAACAAATGAAGATCGACTGCAGGCATTGTGAAGCGGCAACTGTTGGACGGCATCTGGCAGCCTTCACAAAACAGCGAGCATCAAACAGACTCCTAAAAGGTTCAATCAACCTCTCACCCAGAAGTCCAAAGTTGGGCTGGAGGAAGCTTCTTTCAAGCCATGATGGGGTGATCATGCTCTGCAATCCTTCAAGAATGGGTAAGACTTCTCTGATAGAACCTTGGCCGCATCATCGATCTTGTCCGCGTAAGCCGGCGCTGTGCCCAGCATGGCCGCGGCGCCGGCCGCCGTGGCGATCGGCACGTGTCGGCCAGCAGGGGGCACGAATGCACCCTGCCAGCCGCAGTAGGCCGCCACACCCGCCACGACTGCGAGCATCTTGCTTGCCTTTGCCATGGCAAAGATGATGAGAAGGCTCTTGGCTATTGCTCTTGCGGCTTTCGTACTCAAAAGCTGACATGCAGACACTTATCAACGGAGCAAGCCAAGGCACGCTTCTTGCCAAGCGATTGCTCTCTCTCTCCCCTCTCTCCCTGGCATAACATCTCCAGTGCGGCTGGCATCTCACGGAACTTCCGTTCAAGTACACAACGCTCCAGCCGTCGCGAACAAGCTGTCGCCAACAAGACCCGCCTCTTTTACACAAGACCCTTCAAAGGGGCACTGCAATGTCCTTCATATAAAACTGTCAGAGAGTGCCTTGATAAAATGTTTGCAATTGTCTGAATCAGCCCTAGGCCTGAAAACTGAGTCTCAGGCAGGGCGGGCTTAGACTATCAAGAAGCTATACAAACTACAAGAGCAAGGCCCCGCTCAGCGCTGAGAAGCCTTCACCACGTCCTTGAACTCCAGGAATGCCTTATAGGCCGCCTTGGCGTCCTCAGCGTTCACCTTGGACATCATGTAAGGGCCCACATCCTTGCCCAAGCTGAACTTGTTGAAGGCGTTGTACACGTCCATGGTCTTGGAGGCCGGCACGGACGCAATCATGTGGCCAATGGCGGCGTTGGTGGCCGTGTAGTCCTCAAGGGTGGTCACCCCCTTGCTGTCAACGCGCCCGATGGCCTCGCTGTGGGCCAACACGCCAGCCTTCAGAGCTGCCGGGTCCATCGCGGCGCCCATAACCAACATCTTGTCGATCGCCTTCAGCACATCCAAGGGCTTGGCAGTGGGCAGAACGCCATAGACGCCATCAGTCCAGTCGATCTCCTGAATGGAACGTGTAATGATGTTTCTGACGGACAGCCATTCACATGCGAACACGTTTGCCGCCAAAGGAATCAGTCCTAAGTCCCTCAACAATAAAACAAGAGCTAGAAGAACAAACAAATGAAGATCGACTGCCAGGCATTGTGAAGCGGCAACTGGTGGACGGCATCTGGCAGCCTTCACAAAACAGCGAGCATCAAACAGACTCCTAAAAGGTTCAATCAACATCTCACCCAGAGGTCCAAAGTTGGGCTAGAGGAAGCTTGTTTCAAGCCATGATGGGGTGATCACGCTCTGCAATCCTTCAAGAATGGGTAAGACTTCTCTGATAGAACCTTGGCCGCATCATCGATCTTGTCCGCGTAAGCCGGCGCTGTGCCCAGCATGGCCGCGGCGCCGGCCGCCGTGGCGATCGGCACGTGTCGGCCAGCAGGGGGCACGAATGCACCCTGCCAACCGCAGTAGGCCGCCACACCCGCCACGACTGCGAGCATCTTGCTTGCCTTTGCCATGGCAAAGATAATGAGAAGGCTCTTGGCTATTGCTCTCGCGGCTTTCGTACTCAAAAGCTGACATGCAGACACTTGTCAACGGAGCAAGCCAAGGCACGCTTCTTGCCAAGCGATTGCTCTCTCTCTCTCCCCTCTCTCCCTGGCATAACATCTCCAGTGCGGCTTCAGCCCCAAACCCTGGCATCTCACGCAACTTCCGTTCAAGTACACAACGCTCCAGCCGTCGCGGACAAGCTGTCGCCAACAACACCCGCCTCTTTTACACAAGACCCTTCAAAGGACCCTTCAAAGGGGCACTGCAATGTCCTTCATATAAAACTGTCAGAGAGTGCCTTGATAAAATGTTTGCAATTGTCTGAATCAGCCCTAGGCCTGAAAACTGAGTCTCAGGCAGGGCGGGCTTAGACTATCAAGAAGCTATACAAACTACAAGAGCAAGGCCCCGCTCAGCGCTGAGAAGCCTTCACCACGTCCTTGAACTCCAGGAATGCCTTATAGGCCGCCTTGGCGTCCTCAGCGTTCACCTTGGACATCATGTAAGGGCCCACATCCTTGCCCAAGCTGAACTTGTTGAAGGCGTTGTACACATCCATGGTCTTGGAGGCCGGCACGGACGCAATCATGTGGCCAATGGCGGCGTTGGTGGCCGTGTAGTCCTCAAGGGTGGTCACCCCCTTGCTGTCAACGCGCCCGATGGCCTCGCTGTGGGCCAACACGCCAGCCTTCAGAGCTGCCGGGTCCATCGCGGCGCCCATAACCAACATCTTGTCGATCGCCTTCAGCACATCCAAGGGCTTGGCAGTGGGCAGAACGCCATAGACGCCATCAGTCCAGTCGATCTCCTGAATGGAACGTGTAATGATGTTTCTGACGGACAGCCATTCACATGCGAACACGTTTGCCGCCAAAGGAATCAGTCCTAAGTCCCTCAACAATAAAACAAGAGCTGGAAGAATAAACAAATGAAGATCGACTGCCAGGCATTGGCATCTGGCAGCCTTCACAAAACAGCGAGCATCAAACAGACTCCTAAAAGGTTCAATCAACATCTCACCCAGAGGTCCAAAGTTGGGCTAGAGGAAGCTTCTTTTAAGCCATGATGGGGTGATCATGCTCTGCAATCCTTCAAGAATGGGTAAGACTTCTCTGATAGAACCTTGGCCGCATCATCGATCTTGTCCGCGTAAGCCGGTGCTGTGCCCAGCATGGCCGCGGCGCCGGCCGCCGTTGCGATCGGCACGTGTCGGCCAGCAGGGGGTACGAATGCACCCTGCCAACCGCAGTAGGCCGCCACACCCGCCACAACTGCGAGCATCTTGCTTGCCTTTGCCATGGCAAAGATAATGAGAAGGCTCTTGGCTATTGCTCTCGCGGCTTTCGTGCTCAAAAGCTGACATGCAGACGCTTATCAACGGAGCAAGCCAAGGCACGCTTCTTGCCAAGCGGTTGCTCTCTCTCTCTCTCTCTCTCTCTCTCTCTCTCTCTCCTCTCCCTGGCATAACATGAAGGCCAGTCACACCCACCTCCAGGGCGGCGGTGTAGGTGACCCCGTTGGGCGCCAGCCGCAGGACACGCAGGCGCCTGCGGCGCAGTGGGTCTCAGTTTCTGCTTGGATTGCAACTGGAAACTGAAAAAAAGCTGCAATCAGGAGAGGCCGATCCAGGAAACCAGGCAATCAGGAACTTGAAACATCAAGAAAAAAGAGCACTTGTTGCTAGCGCAAGAGAGATCAAGTACAACTTGTCGGGGAAGCGAAGGGATGGCCGACTGTTTTCGACCAGAACAACCAAAATGGCGATGGGTCAAAATCCCGTACCCCCAGTGAACATCCGAATCCCCACTAAAATAGGTTCTAAAATGGGTGGTGCACCTACCCCTAAATAATTCCATTGGTTTTGACCCACAGCCAAATGGACATCCGATCTGACCACGTCCCGGCCTCAGCAGCTGCAGGCTCAGTGTCCACCGTCCAGACGATTCGCTCACCGCAGCATCGAAGGCCACCAAGCTCGGCGGGCCTTTTGAAGGGAGAACCGGGGGTGGGATGGGATGGGATGGGGTGGGGTGGGGTGGGGTGGGGTGGGGTGGGATGGGATGGGATGGGATGGGATGGGATGGGATGGGATGGGATGGGATGGGATGGGATGGGATGGGATGGGGTGGGATGGGATGGGATGGGATGGGTCGTTCACCGGTCAGCAAAAGCCTCCACAAAAAGGAAACTCAGGACCCCGGAAAACAAGTGAACCCCCGAACTGAGCGCGCCGGCCTCTCGTGGCATAGCAGGTGGCTAGGAGAGCAGAAGCAGGCTGCTGCGCTCGCAGTTGGCAAGCCTGAGCCCGAAAACCAACGGACCCTGGCAAATCCAAGGCACGGCGGGCCTCAAAATGACATGTTGTATCACTAGATGACTTTTTGGTATCCCTAGAGTTGACGTTTGGCCAGCTTCCGTTGTGTTCTGCAAAGGGTTCCCCTGCCCGGAAAGGATTGTCAATGGATCTTCTGCCAACTCGCCAGTGTCGGGTTCCCCGGATCCGTGCAGTGTGCTTTTCGGCATCAAAATGCTTCAAGCCATCCGACGAGACATTCCAAACGCAATCGGGGCTGCCGGTGTCGACAATCACAAACTCGCAAACGCCTGGCCATTGTGAAGCGGAAACTCGGCCTTTTCAGCAACAGCACATCTGATTTTGTTTTTAAAAGGAAAACCATGCCGGCAAAGAACTGGGCAAACTGCGGAGGATATCACACGGGCAGCCTGACTGTATGCCAGCATGCAATGTGTTAAATCAAAGGGTTCCTTCTCTCGTGAGCCCTAACCTTTTTCGGAGCCGTGATATAACATGCATGTGAAACGCGGAGAATGGCATCGTGGATTCGACGTCATGAACAGGGGGCCTTTCTGTGAAAACAAATACGACAATCTTGTGAATGCTAGTGAATGTATGTTCAATCCACTGAAGGTCTTCCTGCGCGCAAATGTACAGACGGATTCCCTTGGGCTTCCCTGCAAAACAACAAACAACCCTCTGGCGGCAAACCCACTCGGACTCATTTCGGAAGGCATGTTTCCGGAATTCACGCGGGACCTGTAGGCCACGGAACCTGCTGGGCCAAACGGTTCCAAGCCGGGAGCCTCCCTTTGGGTTCCAGGACGAAAACGTAAAAAACATGGGGTTGCAGCTCGATAAGTCGCCCCCCAAACGCACCCAAGTCGATGGGCAAAACAGGCAGACAAATGGCCCAACCTCGTAGAAGGGCCTTAAGGGAAGAAGAAAAAAAACCTCGGCGTTGCTCCGTCCCCCTCTCCCCGGCACCGTCGATTTGTCCCGAAGGCGCCACTCCAGCAGTGCGGAGGGATCTCCGCAGGCCTCGCAGGCCTCGGCGGCCTGGGAGTACGCCACCTGCCCGGCGCTGACGGGGCCCCAGAAAACGTTCGTCGTGACGGATCCTTGGATGCTGCAAAGACCCCTCTGCAAAAAGTGAGTAACTGTTCGTGGGTTTAATGGAAAACCCCCTGAAATCCCAAAAAGCTTAAGTCTAAAGATCCAACCCAATAGCCAGGATCGAAAACGCCGTGTTGGTCACCTTGTGAACGCATTGACAAGGCTGAGAGATTCAAAACAGACCGGTGATTTGGACACTGCACTGAAGTCAAGGCTAAGATTTGTAGGCGCCAAAGGGAGACAATCGGAGCTTCGGAGAAGGATATGGCACCAAAGAAACCCGTCCGGTCCCCTGGTTGCGGGAGATTGGAGGCTAACCCCCATGTCTCCAGACTAGCGATAGACTACCAATGTTGGCTCGCTCAGCTGCCCTTCGCTCTGAGCAGCCGGTGAACCGCTGCCAGAAGTGCCAAGGATGCCGTCGTGAGATGGACTGAGCGAGAAATGGCCTCGGTTTATCTTTTCGCCTCTCGTGCTATCTGCACATTGGAAAAGCTTGCATCTTAGTGGCAGTGTAAGCTGGGGCCGCTTCCTGCCCTTTCCATCATATCCGTTTGTGCAACAAGGGGCCTGAACTCAAGCGAAGCCGCCTTCTTTTTGCCGCTCATGTTTACAGCTTCCCACCAACTATAATTGCCAGCGGATGTCGTCCCATTGGTTCCAAGAGGAATTTGGGTCCAACTCCAAATCCAAACCACAGACTAAGGCTAATCTGATGATTGACTTCATCCGTCACTTACACATCACTCACCCAGATCTCTTTGTGCCTCCCTCCAGCAGTACCCCACCTGATTTCGCAAAGAAACTCCATCAAAGACCTACTGCAAACCATGGAACCCGATTCCATGTGATCCCTTGCCCAAAAGGAGCGTCTAAACACGGATCGGTGTTTTGTGGGTTCCACAGTTCCACGTTTGGGTGTATCTGCTTTTGCTGAACCCGCTGTTGCTTGCTTTTGACTTTTGGCCTCAACCTTCCAGGAGATGCCTACACCAGGGTGAAAGTAGATGACACAATCCCCCTTCTGTTAGCAAGGGGCATTGATGAAACCAAAATAGGGGGAATACTCCACCCAACTGCAATAAGCCGCTGGTTAAAATTGGGGTATTGCGGGGCATCTCCTTTTCAAGAGGATCCTTCACCTTCTGAACGCTCAATCAATATGAAGAAGCAGGCTTAGTTGAACATCAAAAGCAGAAAGACGGCTCATGTCCGACTCAGCCCAAAAAGACCAGGTGTTCCTTTCGAGTCCAAACGTCAGGTGGGTTTCTTCCGGATCAGGGGCCCAAAGCTCGCTCGAGTCAACGCCTCACGACCAAACCCATCCGTCCAACGAAACGAAGACCCCGCCACGTCCAGGCCGCAGCGGCTGGCGCGCATCTCGCACAGCAGCGCCAGCACCGCCGGCGCGCGGCCGCAGGCCTCCCAAAGTGCCACACTTGCTCCGGGCAATGGCGGGGGAGGGGGGGGGCTGGCAAGGGAAACCAATGGAAACCAAGAGAAACCAAGGGAAACCAAGCCAAACCCTGGCATGTCACGGAACTTCCGTTCAAGCACACAACGCTCCAGCCGTCGCGAACAAGCTGTCGCTAACAAGACCCGCCTCTTTTACTTCAAAGGGGCATTGCAATGTCCTTCATATAAAACTGTCAGAGAGTGCCTTGATAAAATGTTCGCAATTGTCTGAATCAGCCGTAGGCCTGAGAACTGAGTCTCAGGCCGGGCGGGCTCAGACTACCAAGAAGCTATACAAACTGCAAGAGCAAAACCCCGCTCAGCGCTGAGAAGCCTTCACCACATCCTTGAACTCCAGGAATGCCTTATAGGCCGCCTTGGCGTCCTCAGCGTTCACCTTGGACATCATGTAAGGGCCCACATCCTTGCCCAAGCTGAACTTGTTGAAGGCGTTGTACACGTCCATGGTCTTGGAGGCCGGCACGGACGCAATCATGTGGCCAATGGCGGCGTTGGTGGCCGTGTAGTCCGCAAGGGTGGTCACCCCCTTGCCGTCAATGCTCTTGATGGCCTCGCTGTGGGCCAACACGCCAGCCTTCAGAGCTGCCGGGTCCATCGCGGCGCCCATAACCAACATCTTGTCGATCGCCTTCAGCACATCCAAGGGCTTGGCAGTGGGCAGAACGCCATAGACGCCATCAGTCCAGTCGATCTCCTGAATGGAACGTGTAATGATGTTTCTGACGGACAGCCGTTCACATGCGAACACGTTTGCAGTCCTAAGTCCCTCAACAATAAAACAAGAGCTGGAAGAACAAACAAATGAAGATCGACTGCAGGCATTGTGAAGCGGCAACTGTTGGACGGCATCTGGCAGCCTTCACAAAACAGCGAGCATCAAACAGACTCCTAAAAGGTTCAACCAACATCTCACCCAGAGGTCCACAGTTGCGCTAGAGGAAGCTTCTTTCAAGCCATGATGGGCCGGTGATCATGCTCAGCAATCCTTCAAGAATGGGTAAGACTTCTCTGATAGAACCTTGGCCGCATCGTCGATCTTGTCCGCGTAAGCCGGCGCTGTGCCCAGCATGGCCGCGGCACCGGCCGCCGTGGCGATCGGCACGTGTCGGCCAGCAGGGGGCACGAATGCACCCTGCCAACCGCAGTAGGCCGCCACACCCGCCACAACTGCGAGCATCTTGCTTGCCTTTGCCATGGCAAAGATAATGAGAAGGCTCTTGGCTATTGCTCTCGCGGCTTTCGTGCTCAAAAGCTGACATGCAGACACTTGTCAACGGAGTAAGCCAAGGCACGCTTCTTGCCAAGCGGTTGCTCTCTCTCTCTCCTTCTCTCTCTCTCTCTCTCTCTCTCTCCTCTCCCTGGCATAACATGAAGGCCAGTCGCACCCACCTCCAGGGCGGCGGTGTAGGTGACCCCGTTGGGCGCCAGCCGCAGGACACGCAGGCGCCTGCGGCGCTGTGGGTCTCAGTTTCTGCTTGGATTGCAACTGGAAACTGAAAAAAGCTGCAATCAGGAGCGGCCGATCCAGGAAACCAGCAGAAGGCAACCAGGAATTTGAAACAGCGAGCAAAGAAAGCACTTGTTGCTAGCGCAAGAGAGATCAAGTACGGCTTGTCGGGGAAGCGAAGGGATGGCCGACTGTGTTCGACCAGAACAACCAAACTGGCCATGGGTCAAAATCCCGTACCCCCAGCGAACATCCCAATCCACACTAAAATAGGTTCCAAAATGGGTGGTGCACCTACCCCAAAATAATTCCATCGGTTTTGACCCACAGCCAAATGGACACCGATCTGACCACGTCCCGGCCTCAGCAGCTGCAGGCTCAGTGTCCACCGTCCAGACGAGGCGCTCACCGCAGCATCGAAGGCCACCAAGCTCGGCGGGCCTTTTGAAGGGAGAACCGGCGAAAGCGGCTTCAAGCAGCGTGGGATGGGATGGGATGGGATGGGATGGGATGGGATGGGATGGGATGGGATGGGATGGGATGGGATGGGATGGGATGGGATGGGATGGGATGGGATGGGATGGGATGGGATGGGATGGGATGGGATGGGATGGGATGGGATGGGATGGGATGGGATGGGATGGGATGGGATGGGATGGGATGGGATGGGATGGGATGGGATGGGATGGGATGGGATGGGATGGGATGGGATGGATGGGATGGGATGGGATGGGATGGGATGGGATGGGATGGATGGGATGGGATGGGATGGGGTGGGGTGGGGTGGGGTGGGTGTGGGGTGGGGTGGGGTGGGGTGGGGTGGGGTGGGGTGGGGTGGGGTGGGGTGGGGTGGGGTGGGGTGGGGTGGGGTGGGGGGTGGGGTGGGGTGGGGTGGGGTGGGGTGGGGTGGGGTGGGGTGGGGTGGGGTGGGGGTGGGGTGGGGTGGGGTGGGGTGGGGTGGGGTGGGGTGGGGTGGGGTGGGGTGGGGTGGGGTGGGGTGGGGTGGGGTGGGGTGGGGTGGGGGGGGGGGGGGGGGGGGGGGGGGGGTGGTTGGAAGGACACAGTTCCACATGAGGTGAGTTGCACAGCTGGAGCAGGCCCAGCGCGCATTCCCAGCGCTGGCTCTTCTCCATGGCGCTCACCGCGCTGCTGTAGGTCACCTACGTCAACAAACCGAGGGCCCCTGTCTCCGAAGGGCATGGGTCAAAATTTAACCGCCAGGGGACCGCAGGTTTTGGTCCATGTTTCCATTTACCAGGGTTCCATTTTTGGTACATATTTTTGACCTGCAGCCAAATGGCTATGACTGCTGATGGTTCTGACCCCATGAAAAGTGGTCAATACATCCTTACCTACCTGATGTCCACCAAAGGGTCTTTAATTAACATTCATACCCAAATGGCTGTGGCTCCAAAAACGGGACCCCGAATCCGAATGGGTTGACCTGGTGAATGGAAGCATTGACCAAATTATCTGCGGTCCATATCCTGGTCCTGAGAAATTTTGAGCCATACCCAAATGAGCATGTGTTTTGTTGAGGGTACCCTTTCCCGGGTTGACTTAAGGGGAAACCAGTTCCCCATTTTGACACTTGCCCAAATGGCAGAACTGACGGACGTGCGAGCCAATTCCATCTATGGCTTTGGATGAGAACCGATTTCCCAACGCACCCAGGGCAAGAACTCCCGGCAGGCTGTCATACCCTCCCAAAAACCAAAACGCAACTTAAAGGTCTGGCCATTGCTTGGGGCGATTTACCTCTCTCTTTCAGGTTCCATGTCAGCAAACACCCCAGCACGGTTGGGTGATTTCAAACTTTCTCTAAGCATGCCCGAACCACAAAACTGCGTAAACAACCTGCTTTTAGTTGCCCCTGGTATGAACTGGATCAGGTAAGCGGCGAACAAATCTTACAACCAAGCCTGAGTCACCCACGAATTCCCAAACAGACGACCCCCCACAAGGCAGCCGCGGCGCCACATCCGCGTCCCTGGCGACCGCCAAGCGCAGCGCCCGCTGCCACTGCAGCGGCTTCTCGCAGGATGAGAGCAACGCGTTCCCACAGACCCGGTTCTGAGCCAAGCCCCAAGCGGCCGCGCCCTGCGCGAGCCTCGGCAGCCGGCTTGAATGCGCGTCGGTTGGGTTCAGCTGTCTCGCAAGCGCGGATCTGTGCAGTTGAGGAACTGCTGCTGCCTGCGGCCTTCAAATGTCATCTAAAACCCACCAATGGCTCATGATAACCAAATGGCACCGTCTAAATGCAGTTGCATCCTGCCCGGACGTCGGGAGCGACGAAATGGCTCTTTGCGGATATGGCTCTCTAAATGATTATCCTTGTCAGCGATATTAGAGAAATTTACATAAAACCATTGAGGAAAACCATCTTGGAGATTGTCCACCACCCTCCAATTTCCCGAAACAGCTTTGCTTTCGGCATGGTTGGTGGTGTTGTAAATATCCGGGCGGCTCAACATACGGCAATGATTGGATCGTTGTCAGCTTCAAAGGCATCCTCAACATACCGCATGCTGCCTGCTTTGGTGGATGCGCACTGGAAATGAAGCCTTATGAATCCAGAACGGAAATAGAAGGGAGGTCCTCCATAAGGGAACCTTGCACAAGGGTAGACATCGGCCCTCCGGCAAAGGGAAACAAACTGAACCCAGCCAATTTTCTGCGCTTGTGGTTTGATGATCTTTTCCCGTTTCTTGAAACACAGCTGTGCCAGACACTTTCACAGTGCACAAAAAAAAAGCAAGAAAAGAAAATACCTGCAAGAAACCCGATGGTTCCAATGGTCAACCCCTCAAACATTGGCCAACCCCCCGAAAAAGAAAAGAAGAAAAACAACTGTAGAAGCCGATGGTCTGCCCCCCAAAGATCACGCCCGCGGGGTTTAACCTCCGTGACTTCTGGGTGTGGCTCAAAATGAACCAGGAGAGGTTACGCAGGTTTTGGTCCATGTTTCCATTTTTTGAGCCACAGCCTTCTCGGAGCGGCTGCAGGGCGTTGCGCCAGCGCTGGCCCACCCCCAGCGCCGCCAGAGCAGCGCCCAGCGCGACCACGTCCACCCGGCCGCCGCTTTCGGCCAGGGACCTGGGGGAGCGGGCGAGGGAACCGACCCCGGGGATGCTGGAAGACCATCTTCCTTGAAAATGAACCCTCTGGTGATGGATGGGTGGATGGGTGGATGGGTGGATGGGTGGATAATACATGGAATTGTGCTGATTGTGGGCAAGGCTCTTTGACGGGTGGAAGGGCCTTTCCACTGCCTGCAAACCACTGCCCCCAGCAAGAAACAACAAAAAAGGGGGGGGGGGGAGACGTGAGTCCCCAGGCCCTAGGTGAAGTATTGCCCAATCTGTGACAAAATGCAAAATGCAAATCGCACCCGGCTCGCTTGGAAAAGGGCTCTATGGAAAGTGGACACCTCAAACCAAGAAAATATTCCATCAACACGATGGGTGTAAAGTTCTTCGCCACCCATTCCCACGTCCGCTGTAGCTCCCGCCGGGGGGCCCCAGCAGCCGAACAGCCACGAGCCACTGCTGGCCCTGCGGTTGGTGCAAAAGGGCATAGCACGTTAAACACTTTGTGGACCGCACCCAAGAGAGCCCAGGAGGCGAAAAAAGAGATCAAAAGAAAACTAACCATGTGCAAGTTACCCTGGTGTTGACAGACTGCCACGTACCCCTTCCTAGCACAGCCTGCACACGGCGCCACACTCTGCATTTCCAGGATTCGGGCAACAGGCCAAAAGCGAAGGGACAAGCATCTGGGTGTGTGTGTGTGTGTGCGTGTGTTTTGTAAGGATGGGCGGTAAAGGGACATCAAATTACACATACCCATCTGTGCCCAACAATGGCAAACCCGAAACACCCCTTCACCCTTCACGCAACTGCGTCCATTCAAACGTCTTTAAACGGCCGACATCCTCAATATGAGCGAGAAAAAACAGAAACCTTGCGAGGTGGAAGCATGATGAACCTGTGACCCAGCTGAACACGCGGGAGCCCCCTTACAACTGGGCACCTTCGGACGGCGCTTTTGCGAAAGACCGAAACATGTTTAGGGGGGTCCCCTCATTCGGTCCCTCGCCCCGTTTGCCAAGCTGAAACTTGGTGCCCTCGTCTGTGTTGGACTTTGCGGCTGCCCGGGTCTGGGAATCCCTGTTTCAAAGGAACAAAAGAAAACCCGCTCATTGTATGGGGCCCTCCTTGTTTTACTCCAACAAGCCGTGTGCGAGTGCGAAATTCAATGAGAAAACAATCACTGGGCTGTACAGCCCCAACCACTAGCAACCAAAGCCGTCTCGCCAGAATGACATAGAACCCCGAAGAAAGTCAAGGGCGGCAATCAAAAAGTCACGCAGCACCTGAACCGTAGCCATCACAACGCCCAATACCATCTGAGCTCAACAAAAGCACAACATCCTCCTGTGCATGAATACAACTGTGCATGCCCTCTATCTGGGCTGATGAGATGAGGCTCGCAACCCGTGGACAAGTGAGAAAAATGCTGCGGGGCAAAGACACCGATGGCAGCCCACACAACGCATTGTTAAGTTGCAGGAACACATCAGTCCATTGCTGGGGCACCAAGCCAACCACCAGAACCTGACGTGCCCAAGCAACCACATGTGCGCCCCTCCCTACGTTACGCCGGCCCTCGCGTGACCGAGGGCCAAGAGCGAACCTAAAAACGGGGGAGCCACATGCAACAAATCGCTTTCCCGACTTAGGCTTTCCCACCAGGCGCAAGGATTGGAAAAGACGGACACTAAGCCAGTCACAACTTCCACATGGCCATGAGTTCAAATCCCGTACCCCCAGTGAACATCCCAAAGCCCACTGAAATAGACTAAAATGGGTGGTGCACCTACCCCAAAATGGTGCCGTTGGTTTTGACCCACAGCCACAATTTGCCTAACCCATCAGCCCGAGACCATGGACCCCTCCGGCACGCTCCTTCTCACAGGCGCTCATCGCGGCACTGAAGCAGATTTCGTTCGGCTGGTGCCCTGCCTGCGAGTGAATCAAACCAACTCCGAGCAGGCCATGCCGGCCATGCGTCGCCGAGGGTGCCCTTTTTGATTAATTGAAAAGGGAAACCAACGGAAAACCGCCATTTACTGGGGGCTGTCATTGGGGGTTCCCATTTAAAGAAACCAACCACATTCGTCTCCATTGTGAGACAAACATGCACCTGTCCATTGATTGCACAGCCTTCTTGCCAACCCCAGCGCAGCAAATACTTGACAAGGTTCGCGGTTGAGAAGGGGCAAGGGTGTGACCCAACGCGGGCACAGTGGAAGCGCCTTAGGAGTGTGCCACCATAAAGCACCCTGGCCAGTGTCCAAAATGAAAACTGGGGGGAAGTTGATGCATTCAAAAGGAGGCAACCTTTCAGCTTGCAAGGGTACGCTGACTTGAAAAGTTTGTTGTTTTTAGCTTGCAGGAGGCAATCCTCTTAATTCCCCCCCTCCCCCCAGTCCGCGCCAAGGCAAGCAAAAATCCCAGTGCGACTTTGATTCCAGCACAGCCGGACAAGGCTGGTCGCGCTGTCTTACCTGTGGTCGGCTGAATCTTTCACCGGGTCTGTCCCAATGCGGGCAAACTGGGCAGGACCCCTTTCCAATGAATATCTTTTTCACTTGCCCGAATTGCACGACGGTTTAACCATGGCTTGTGCCGCAAGACGAGGCTGTTTCATGTGACCAGCCGGTCGTGAAACTCCACACTGCTTTGGACGCACGGCGAAGGAGCCCCAAAAAAAGCGGCACTCCGTTGCACCTTGTTGGGCTCCGCGAAAAAAATATCGACTGCCTTTTGTCTGGTACTCCCTTTTGATGGGTTCGGAAAGGCAACCAAAAGGCGAAAGAAAAGAACATTGTTGAGACATACCCATTTTCCTTTCCTCCGTGTTTCGACACTGCTCCAGCAGCATGTTCCTTCCCGAAACCGCACCTGTCGCATCGCATCAAGAAGCTGCAGCGCCTTATCGTCCTCACGACCGGAATGAAAGACTGCTACTTGGTCAGGGAAGCATACGCCCTGCAACCAAAGGTCGCGTGCTTCCGCACTTGTCCATTCATCCTCGAAAGACACCCCCCCCTCTCTGGCTCTTGCTTAAAGGGGGGAACCAAAAAGAAGCTACCTGTGTTTAGGGAGAGCTCCAACCCATTTCTGGACAGAGCCAATGTCCCGGCAAACCATGTCTCTTTCAAACAATCAGGAAGCTCCTTGTTTTTGGCAGGCGGCAAAAAAAGTGGGCAATGGCACAAACCGCAGACCAATGCGCATCCCAAATGTGCATATTTAACGATACTTGGAGCAGTGTGAACGGCGAAAGCAAAAGAAGACCGCGCCGTGTGCTTAACTTGTCAGTGGTCCGCTTTGAGCGACAAACAAACCAAATATCCTGGGTATGAGTTTTGATACGTGTTTATTCGGGACCCCTTTAGGTGGGGATTCAAGAAAAAACATATCCTGCTGTCAGCTCATAGGCAATGTCTCCTCGTGGGCCTTCTCACAGCAGCTGATAGCACTGCTGAAGCTCACCAGCGTGGGAAACAGCTGCCGCTCCTGGGTTTAGGGTTTCTTGCGCTTAAAGGCTGCAAACCGGGGTTATTCAAGAAAACAAGAGACCCCCTAGCACTCAGTCTTTGGAGAAGCGCAAGCATGTGGAAAGTACAGCTAGGGGGAAAGCCACCCAGGTTGAGAATGTTGGAGAGCCAAAGGACATCTTTCCAAGTGAAAGGTTCTTGGGGAAACCCGAAGCCAAGATTCACTGTGTCTGTTCTTGAGGGTACCCTGTTTTTGCGGTTTTGAAGGAAAACGCAAAGGACAACCACCATCTTGCCGGTCTTGCAAAGAGACAATCCATATCTTCCACCTGCCTTATCTCTGAGACTCAGTTTCTGTCTCATATCCACCCCCACCTCGCAGATCAGGTGGAAAAAAAAGAAGGACTCTCAAGCAAATGGAAGCTGACCCAGCGGGTTTGCAGGAATCCTGGTCCTAAACAACCTGCACAGACACAGATTGCAAGGGACTTCATCAGCATGGAGAACCAGCTCCAATGGACCTGGGAACCGCGGACTTGCTGGCCAAGCCCTGGCTGATATTTGTGTCTCTATGGTCCAAATATGCAGATTAAGTACCTCCATGCACATGGGCAATTGAACCTCTCGCGTTGTGGGAAGTTCAGTGAGTCTTCCAGGTTCCTCCCATATATTAACTCCCTTATCTCCCCCAACCCCCACCCCCCCCCCCCATTTCCTGCATCTCCTCCAGTAGCGCCAGTGCTTGGCGCCAACGGCCCTCGCAGGCCTTGAGCGCCCCATTGAAGGCCACTGCGTCCAATTCCACCCCTCGCCGACCTCACCGCGGCGGCGAGCCCGCGGCGCTTTGGCGACAGGCGACCGGCTGGAGCCGGATCCCGAGGGCAAAGCGGGATGCTGAATTGGGACTTGACTCTACCCGGCTTGGTGACAGACAATAAGGCGAAGTCCCTACTGAATGGTTGACTGTTCCTGTCGTTGCCAAAAACCAAGTCACTCGAGGTTTGCGAGTGTTTTCCCTAGCGTAAGCCGACGCACCTTAGACCCTTCATGTGGGCCCCACATTGAAAAACCTCAACTTGTTGTTTGCAAAAACAAAAAACGATCGCCGCGCCTCCAAAAATGGAACGCCACTCTACTTATCAACCAGTGGTTTCTCAATCCTCGGCCTGTGTGTGTGTGTGTGTGCGTATGTGTGTGTGTGCCCAAGCGAGGGCGCATGTGGATGCGGGTGTGAGTGCGCATGTGGGCGTGGGTGTGTGTGGGCGTGGGTGGGTGGGTGTGTGTGTGTGTGTGTGCGGGTGCTGCCACGCGTGCGTGCGTAGATGTATGTGGACGTGCGTGCGTGCATGCGTGCGTGTGTGTGCGTGAGCGCGCATGTGTGAGCGTGTGCGGGCGTGCCCGCGTCCGTGCGTGCGTGCGTGCGAGTATGCACGCGCGGGTGCTTGCGCGAAAGTCCTGCGTGTGTGTCCTGCGAGTCCTGCGTGTGTGCGTGGGAAGCCAAACAGGACAGCGCACGCACGGAAATTGGTCCCCGGATAGTCATTTGACCATGGCAGAGTCCCTCATTGGCCAAGGCGCACATCCGCTGGAACACCTGATGCGCTAACCCACAGCGAGCCCGAAAATACACCAAGCTACGCAGTGCAGCGCGCTTCGTTCGCCGATCTGAAACCACTTCGTGTTTCTCGAGGGTTACAAAGCATCAATTTATGGGATCACAAAAACAAAACAAATTGCTCAGGTCAAAAACAAATTGCTCATTCCCTTGTCCTGATCCCGTCTCCTCGTTGCCTGGTCTGGTGTCCTGGTGTCCTGGTCCCTTGGTCCTTGGGTCTCACTTTCTCTGGGTCTCCTGGTCTCTTAAACTAACCTTAAACCAACCCGAAACCAACCCTAGACAACTAACCTAAACTAAACCAACCTTGAATCCAATCCTACACAACCTTAAGCCAACCTTAAACCGGCCCTAAACCAACCTTAAACCAACCCTTAAACCAACCCTTAAACCAACCCTAAACCAACCCTAAACCAACCTTAAACAAACCCTAAAAAAGTTTATTCTAACCCCAAGCAACCTTCAACCAAGCCTGGGCCACACGAGTCCCACCGGAAACAAACCTTGCGCGCACCCTAAGCCCGCTCCAAACCAACTTGAAGCCAACCCAACCCCGTAATTGTCCCTGATCTAACCCTAGAGCCACCCTAAACAAACCACCACACCACCCTGAACCAACCCTGCGCAAAGCCTGACCAACCAGAAGCCAACCCCAAACACAAACCTTACACAAACCTTACCTGCATGAAACCCACTCTGAAATCCACCCTCAACACGCCGTAAATCAGCCGTAACCCGAAAAACCACCCCAAAACCAACCCTAAACCAACCCTAAACCCACTCTCAGTCACCCTACAGCAGTACTAAACAAACCTCAAACCCCCCTGAACCAACCCAAAACCAACCCAAAACCACTCACCCTCATTGCCCAGGCCCAGGCGCAATTCACGCGCTGTTCATCAACCAGAGCGTTTTTAAGGCAGTGGGCGAGATAGGTGTTTTGATCCCAGAAGCAATTTACTTCTGATCGATCATTGTTTGATCCTCGAAATAACTGTTTCTTGATCCTGCACCACAAATAGGCTTCTAAGACTCTAACCTCATCATCGTAGTTTGGCTTGGGGCGAACTGGAGGCTACTAACCCCTTAGCCAACTCCGGGGGAAAACCAAACCACCCTCATCTTGGAGGCTTCCCGTATTTGGAGACAGACCTACTCGTCAAGACTCTTGGAAGACACCCGCAGACACCACAGAAAGGCGCAGCGATCCCCAACCAGAGGTGGGTCCTGTAGCAATCCCAGCAATCAATGGGAAATATCATCGGAGGGTCCAGACACAGGTGTGGGTTTCCAGAAAACGGCGCCATTGATTGAAAGACATGGCTTCCTCCCCAGCTGAAACCTAAAGGCTCCGGGGTGGTCCGGGGCGGCTCTGGGGTAGGTTCCGAGGAGGATTCTGGGGATTGTGTTCTGGGGCAGCGGCCGAGGAGGGTTGCACGGGGCGGTTCCCAGGAGAGTTCGGGGATGCATGGGCAGGTTCCGACTGCTGGGGATGAATGGGGCCGCTTCCGAGGAGTGCGCGCAAATGTGCCTCATGTTGTTCGGGATATGACGTGAGCTTATTTTTGTAGAACATGGAACCAAACCTGAAACATGCGTGCTTGTTGTGTAGGCTCAGCCCCCCAGACGGGCCTCTAGCCCCTTCTGCCCCTCGCAGGCGCTGAGCGCCCCCGAAAACTCCACGGCGGAAATTTCCAGAAGTGACGCCTCCAGCTGGTCCAGCAACAACAGGCACCTGCCGGCCCCCCTGCGAAGGGGCTCAGTCAATTACCTACCACTCTATCACATTCTAGCTCACGTGCTTTTCCTGGATGTGGGTCCAGTATGGTGTGCTCTTGTGGTGATTCTCCGTGAAATTTCGATGTTGCGAAAGAGCATCTGAGGGGTTCCAGAGTGCGTTCCTGCAGCAACCGCAGAGATTCGAGAGATTTACATGGCCACCGTCATTTGGTTCTTGAGGGTTTGTAAGAGCCTCTACGTGTCCAAACACGCCAGCCCTTGAACTCGCACGCATGCAACGGGACCATTTCAGAGGGCGAGAACATATGTTGGACCTTGGGCAAAGAGCCTTGAAAGCGAAGCTAAACTCAAACCTCCAATTGGAAAAGTGTCCTGTACGCAAAAGGGCCCTACATGCCGCCCACAGAAGTCTTCGCAGGTTGCTGTTTCGTTGGATCCAACAACTGTTGCTTCAAAAGATTCACGTTGACCAGTCCACCACAGTTATGATTTGAATAACGGCAACCTTCTGGTATCACATGGATCTGGTTGCTACCCCACCCAGACCTGCGCTGTAGCTTCTCCTTGCCCGATTTGATTTTTGGGCAATCGCTAGGCGGGGCAATTCACTGGCGTGGCAGCCCAAATGACAATGAGCAGGGCAAAAGAAGACGGCTGATATAATAACAAAAATGATGATAACTATACTACATAATGGTCCCCTGTTCTCTTTGCGGGTGGTAAGACAGAGAGGTCATGCCAAAAGGAAAGGACCACTATGATGACTCATTATGATGACCAGCCATGTTTGGCGAAAGGCAAGGCTCTGATTGGTCAGAGCTTTTCTCTGACATCCTTCGCTCGAGATGACAAATCCCCAAACGCAAAGAGCGGCAGCCACTTCCAAGTAGAATCAACAATGCACTTTCACACAAGATCATGGCAAGCTGAAAATTGCAGATTCTGCGATGGCTGACTTCAGACCAGCAAACCTCGGATTATCAAGGCTGACCAAAGCTGTTCCAGTTTGAAGGGAGACGAAGAGCGAACACTCAGTGTCCGCATTCCCAAACTTGCGCTTCAAAGTTGGCACCCCAAAACCACGACAAACCCAGGACCAAGTGGGGCCCCCAGCTCCGTCTGGCCCGCAGCGTCTCCCCGCCTCTGCCACTCACGTGCCCGGCCACAGGCATTGATGCAGGCTCCGTAGGACACTGCGCTCAGGCGGAGCTTTCCAGACACTTCCTGGAGCAAACGCTTAGGACTTTTGTCTCATGCCAGCCAAAGGATCTCAGGAAACCCGTCTCACGGTACAACTGGACGCTGGAATCCCAAAAAAATTGGCGTGGCATATCATGCTCAAAAGATTGCAAAAGCGGAATGGCGAAGAAGCTGAGTGGACCGCGTCTATTCTGGTTTCCCAAGATGTCCCCTCTGAACATCATACGCGAAGAAGACGTTCCAAAAGGTAATGTCAAGCACCCAACAAATAACATCTCCCTTAAGTACGGGTTGAGGGTGTGCGTGTGTGCGTGTCTGTGTGTGTGTGCTTTTCTGTTTAGGACCCTATATTTTGGCTGTGTCTTTCTTTGAGGGTACCCCTTTTTGTAGTTTTCGAGGAAACCCAAAAGGACACCCCCATTTTGCGGGCCCAAAAATAGAGGACAAACCAATAGGACCCCAACCCCACAAATGCAAACTCTGACTTCCTGGAACAGCTGCAGGGCGTGTTGCCAGCGCTTCTGCCTTCCCAAGGCGCCTCAAATCTGGCCAGGCAGCCAGCAACGCGCGGGTCGCGAGCTGGCCCCAAGTCCCCCACCCCAGCCTTTGGTTCATTCAGTGAACCCGGAAAAGTGGTTTTGACCTAAAGGTTTTTATCCCAAAAACTGGATGGGGCTTGGACAAGGGCCACAAATGACCCCACGAAAAGTGCTTGCGGTTGCGAAAATTAGGTCTGCAAATATCCCTCAGAGACACGAAAATGAAACATGCAAGCATTATCCAAGGTAACCAGAGACTTGCAACACACTGCGAAGCATCCCAATTCCACTTAGATCGGCCAAAGGCCAAAAGTGAACGAAGCAATGGAACAGGCGAAAGAGGCGGCCTTCCCAACATCCCCAGCATCATTTGCAAGGGCTCAGTAAGCCAGGCAAAATCACTTCGCAGTGCTAGCTTGGAGGCGAGATTGCCTGAGATTCGCAAAATTAACCAACACCAAACTGAAGCCCAAGATTTACAGACTGGTTCCAAATGATGCTGGCAATGCTGGGGATGCGGTCTCTCTACCAGCCAACCAACCAGCCATTCCATTTTTGCTCAAAGTTCGCGGTCAAGTCCCAGAATCTCTGTTGGGAAGATTCAAGATTAACAAATGTGACTCTCTGTGTGTGTGTCTCAAAACATTCCAACGCCAGCTTGTTTTTTCTCATGGTTCATAGTCCGTTTCCTCTTCCCCAAGTGCCAAGCTCGTTCCCGCAAACTCTCTCTCTCTCTCTCTCTCTCTTTTTCTCTCAGGTTCTTTTTTTTTCACCCAAGCGCCGAAAGAAACACACGCACAGACAGACACACACAGACAGACACACACACACACACACACACACACACAGACACACAGACACACAGACACACAGACACAGACACACAGACACACAGACACACAGACACACAGACACACAGACACACAGACACACACACACACACACACACACACACACACACACAGAGACACACACACAGACAGACACAGACAGACACACACACACACACACACACACACAGACAGACACCCAGACACACAGACACAGACACACAGACACACACACAGACAGACACACACACACACAGACACAGAGACACACACACAGACAGACACAGACAGACACACACACACACACACACACAGACAGACAGACACACACAGACAGACACACACACACACACACACACACACACACACACACAAACACACAGACACACACACACACACCCGGCGCCCGGCCCCCAGCCGCGCAACGCGAAAAGCCCGGGGTCTGCACTGATGGCACCGTTGGCCTCCCGCAGAGCCGAAGCCGACGCCTCCGAGAAAAATGCGTCGCGGACCCGCCAGTTCTGGCGGGTCTGGGTGTGTGTTTGGGGGGACAGCCTCACAAATACCCCCCAAAACAACACTCATTTTTTGGGGTTGATGCTGAGAAACTTGTAGAATGTCCAAGTCGACTTTCATGGGCGAGCACGTTTTGCCCCTAGGTGAGCTCGCTATTGGTGCAGCAAGATGCCAACGCCAAACAAAGAAGTGGCACGTCTGATCTAACAAAAACAGCAAATTGGATGTCCCTTTGTGAAGTTCTGACACCCTTTCTCCTCACTGTAATCGGATTGGTTGCACGGTCAGCTGCAGGGAAGCAATCCAACCTTGCCTGCATCCAGGCAGTAGGCCGTGCCGGAATGTGCGGAGCCTCAGGCGATACCCGCGTTTGCTAAATGAGCTTGAGGGTCAGATTCGATGGCCACGGTTGTTCCATTGGCCCTTATTGTGCAAAAGATCAGTAGACGATGCAGAAATCCATCCATGCGTTTGATGAAGATGGCGAAGCTGTCCCGATATTCAGAAGACATGCAAGTTAAGACCACCTGTCGACACAGGGATCCGCGTGTTTCCACATCACCCCACGAGGAATGCGCGTACAAGTTGTTTGTAATGTGATGGAGAAGTTTGGCAACCTCCCACACATCGGTCGTTGATTTGGGTTTGGAAAAGTTCTCAAACGTTTGCTAGTTGTCCGAATGCCTCATAAAGGTTGTTTTGCGAACAACAAAGCAAACCGCGTTGTTTATAGGTCTACCAACACGCGTGAGATGCTGGGAAGACCACCCGGAAGAGCTGCATGCAGCTGAAGGTCTGGGCGTTCGGTTCCGCCACCTGACAGCGCAGATCCTCGGGCAATCAGCCGGCACCATCGGGAGACAAGCCTGCATCCAATCAGGTGGCATGGGGAACCGGCGTGAGAGTAATGTAAGACGTGGCTGAAAATTAAAACCCAGCGAACCGCAAATTTGTGATTGTGTTTCTACAATTTGAGGGTTGGGGGGGGGGTAGTACCCTTGAGCCACATCCACATAATCCAAGCAATTCAACATGGTACACGTCGATATGAACCCCGAAATCGCGACGCGCACCTCAAATTTCGGCGAAGTTGAACCAGCAACACAAAGCTAGGTTGCTCGTCGCGCTAAGCACAACCGAAGAGGATTACCGACAAGCGTGCTTGCTAATTGCGGAGGGGGGGGATCGGCTTGGCCACCGAAACAGGTTCAACTTTGTTCGCAACCAAAAGCTCCTGCTGGAAGTGGAAGACAAAGCTGTTCGCGCTAGCTGCACGCCAGACCCCAAGCACAAAGGCGGGGTCCGAAGAATCGAGACGAAAGCATGGTTCAGATTGCAAAGTCTTACCATAAGGTGATGGTTTTGCAAATCAGGTGCCCACTTCTGTAATACCAAGCAATGTCCCATGGTACGTCGAAGCTTGATAGCTATATCTAGTTGAAAACAAAATATCATCAATGATTGATTAATTCATAGAAATGTAATTTAGAATCTACGGAGAAACAAACGGATACAATTCCTAATTAATATCGCAAAAATCAAATGAATGTAAAGTTCAAATATTGTCTATATATAATTGATAGAAAGAATATCAACTAAACCATCTTGCGATATAACTAAATATGAAATGTCAACAATCAGATATAAATCTTACAAAACAACTAATACAAAAAAAATACTTCCCAAGTCATATACCTCAAATAAATAATATATATATATATATATATCATACCGGGCCTGAGCCCCTGCGGTCTTGCTTGGGCTGCTGGTCTCTCGACTATGGGACGGTGCCTATGAGAAAGGCAGGAACACCGGGCTCTCAAAGCTGAAATCTAAGTATCATATTTGCTCCAGCATGCCAACAAGCAGAAGCTGCAATCTTGGCTAACTCGTCGTATGCTATGCATGTTGTACTAATATTGGATTAGTTGCTGACAGCTAGATAACTTACAGAGATTTCTTTATAGCGACTGGAGCTCCGTTTGAGAAACAGATTGCTGACGAAATCGAACCTGATCTTTTGCAACCCTGACTACTACCAATACTAGCACTCACTGCGGCAGTGGCAGAATTAGTTGCGGCGCCAGTGGCGGCAGAAGCAGCAGCAGTAGCAACAGCAGACATCAGCAGGCGATAGCAATAGCGGACATCATCGTCAGCAGCAGCAGCAGCAGCAGCAGCAGCAGCAGCAGCAGCAGCAGCAGCCCAGCAGCAGCAGCAGCAGCAGCAAATGCACGCCTTTCCTTTTTTGTCGAGCGAATGGCAGCTCTTTTCCTGTGGCAATTAGAGCCTCCGATTGCGGTGCATGTACATCATGCTTTCATCATGCTTTGCATGCGGATATGACTGAACACAAGAACAATCCTCACATGCTGCCTTCATATCCGCTGCACTTGAGACACTTGTGCACCTGTCTCCCACTCTTGTAGTGGGGACATTTCTCGTGCGTGTGACACACGTTGCCTGTTGGCAACATCCGGGCCGGATTGATCCTCTTCCTCAGATCGCTACGTGCACTCACCTCCGGCTCGCTGTCATTGGCCTCCTGAATCGTTGCCTTGCCGGAGATGATGATCTCCTTCTGAATCTTCTTGATGAAGAAACTCCACAGCCACTGCGCCAGGCTCAAGGCTCCTATGCCGGCCAAAATGGCTAGCACCGGCCACATCCAGCCGTCGCTCTCCGCTCCGTTGGGCTCGTTTTCCTCCTTGGTTCCACTCGCCCTGATCACGTTGGCGAACGCCACCACCAACGCCATGCGGCACTCATCCTTCAAGCCGCTGAGAATCTTCTTGGCGCCCTTGTCGCTCAGCATCTTGCGCTGGATGTCGCGGAACTCGTCCTTCCCGAGCTCGCGGTTGTCGTCGTCAACCATGCCCGTCATGAACATCAATCCTCTCATCCTGGCGCGCGCCAGCGCCTTGGTGCCAATGTCCGCGCTACTCGTCGGAATCGCTGTCATTCTGAGCACCTTCTCGTGGCATTTCTGCTGCAGCCACATCATGACTGCATCCAGGTGTCGGGCTCTGCCAATCCCAACTCGGCTGCACATTCCGCGGGCTGCGCTGCTGTCTGACATGCACACCAGGGTTGGTGTGTGGCCTCTGATGAAGGACCACACGTGCCGAAGAAAAAGTCCTTCACTGCACCCAGAGACCATGGCCACGTACTCGCTCTCACCGCTTGAAAGTGAGATGCTTTTCTGGCTTCTCACTCTGCTCTCCATGAGGTTGCCGTCGAGGAACACTGGAAACTCGCGACGCTCTTTCTTGAGTTCTGGTCCCCCGCGTAGTCGCTGTCAGTGACAACCTCCATGAGGTGAACTTTCTTCACCTCGATCTCCTGCATCTCTCTCATGTCCAACACGGACTTCCCACACCTGCTGCTCTTGATGAGCAGTCCATAGAACTCCGTGCCGACCAAGTAGCTTGCCAAGTGCTCTGCATGCCTCCATGCCGTCTTCGTAGGCTTTGACATCCACGCAGCAAGAGCATTAATGGCAAACTGACAGTCAGGCCGCTCACCTCCAATGTAGAGCATCTTCCCCACGATCGACCTGAATTCCGATGTCTCCGCCTCCGACAGCTCTGCACTGCCGTCTCTTGTCGCTCCTCGCGGGTGTCTTCTTGTAGTTGCCTATCTTGATGTCGGCCTTCTTCGCGATGTCCTCGATGTGTTTGGGATCTGGCAACCTCAAGTTGATGGTTGAGAAGTTGGTTCGGTCTGGAACGCAGGTTGCTGGAGGAAACCCCGTGATCTATCAGAGCGACGGGGAAAGGTCAACAAAACAGCTGCTTCGAGCTGCGCAACACTGCAGAGCCAATTTGGGTTTGGAGACCAAGATCCGCATCTCAGGATTGCAACAGCACGCGTCAAATGGAAGCGGAGAGGACTGTCCAGGGTGTGAGAAGGCTAGCAAACTGTTGCTCAGGTGACCATACTGGGCAAAGAAAGACGAGCTATGAGGTGTGGTCAGAAAAAAAGTACCAGGGGAAGATTTGCCTGTTCGGGGAGAGTGTCATGGTTTGGTACAGGAATCTGGGTTGGCAAATCCACATGGACCGACTGCCACATTGCGCTCACGCCGGGCGGTGCTGTGGAGTCAAGGACGGTGAAGCGGCTCCCAGATCAGTTCATCGGCCAACCTGGTGATTGTAAAGGGCCTGCCCTGGATAATTTCGGCTTCCGGGGTACTCATGAAGAAGGTAGGACCGCGGAAAAGGATTGCAACAGCAGCTCGACAGCGGCAGGATGCAATGCGTGCATCCGGCTGGCGCGCAATGCGGCACACAGCAGGTTGAGACATGTCGAAACAGTCATATGGCTGCTGGATGCAATGCGTGCAATGGGTGCCAGGCTGAGACCTGGCAGTAGCTACAGCATGCGGCGCACCGAGCCTTTTGGGCGGCCTCTGGGGCACCCTCACGCAAGTCCCTTAGGTGGCTTGAAGCAGAAAACGGCAACGCGTCCGAAGATTTGATCAAGATTAAAACATAAGGGAAAATAGAACCCTAAACGTTAGAATCTTGATCACTGCTTCAATCCGAAAAGGGAACATGCAGTCTAAGATAAAATGGTGCAAACGACATTTTTTGTCACCTGCGCGCCTTGGGGCAATTGCCATCGGTCACGAAACCAAATGTACATCGGATATACTGGTGAAGTGAGACAGGTGAGACAAAGAGAAGCCTTATGAACGAAACAAAGAAAACGAGGCACCAAACGGACAACGAACCACGCAGACACGCACAAACCAAAAAAGAAAACACGCAACCAAGCAGATTGTTGCGCTCATAAGGAATCGAAGATACGTGGAGAAGGAGCCAAAGCTGGGCAGCCACAGGCAATTTTTGTTTTCTTTTAGCTTGCGTGCCAGTGCCAGCAGGTCCGCCATTGGCTCAGAACCACTTGCCCATGGGGCGCTGCGCTCACAGACCGTGCAGCGGCGCCGTGTGGGTTTTGCCGGTGCGGCGCAACTGAAAGGGGTGCTGGGCGTTGCTTGTTTGTTCTGGCGCAGGACATTGCCCTTGGCAAGGGGCGACGCGGCGGCCTCCGTGATTTCGTGCGACGTCCTACGCAACAACCTTCGCAAGGCCCGCGCGACGTGGTCTTCCCCACCTTACAGTGTTTGTCAGACAAAACTTGGCGTTCTGCGTGTTTGCGCAGAGCTGGCTGGAGTTGTAACCTTGAGGCTGGTTTGTTTTTCTCAATTTTAGCAGGGTGCGCGTGGCGACAGGCAGAGAGTGTTGACATTGCAGTGTGTGCGTTCTTGTGTGGTGTCGCGCAAGTTGGCTGCGCGGTAGGTGTGACATCCTGATGGTGCTGGACTTCATGGTGCTGGACTTCCTGGCG